ATTATTTGACTTTCATTTTGACTAGAGAGACGGTGTTTATTATTCACTAATATAATATATATTCTTCCTGATTATTGGATCATGTTCTGACACTGATTAATCTAGGTAAATCAACATTCCTAAATTTTCCTGACTATTGGATCATGTTCTTACACTGATTACGGTAATCTAGGTAAATCAACATTCCTAAATATGCTGGAACAAAACGAAAAAATCACAGCAGTTAGATGTCAGTGTTTCACACCTGTTTTTATTTGTGACTAATTCAAAGGATAGAATTATTAACATTGAAAAATGTAAAGGAGAATATTCAAAAGTATAACCGAAAATTTAGCTTTTAAAGAGTTGGCGGAATTTAGTCATTGCGGTGCATCTTGACGTCGCTTGTAGCACATGAGTTGCTTTCTAAACTGGGGTGAAGCTGTTGCCCTCAGCGATACTTACGGGTCTACAGAATGGCTGGTCTGCAGGCATCAGACTGTGGGTGATAGATGTGGATGACCTGTGATCGAACCTTTGCTTTTACAAGCGTCTATGGTATAATATTTAGTCAATATAATATAAAGTCAATCGGTCTCATCAGCAGAAGTTAGGATTGATGTTTTTCAATCTGACAACAGGAACAGAAACTGTGCTTTCACCACTCACATTGGCCTCACCTCAACACTGTTAGCTTTAACTACTTCATCACATTGCTCCTCAGGCTGCTGCTCTTATTAATGCCAATTGCTGTGTTTATAAAGATCAAAGAATCTGTCTGCTTCTTGATGTTGCCATTGCTCTGTTCTTCTTGGTTTTGCACCCTGATCACTAAGGCACCCAAGTCGTAAAAGCGTTCGTAGCTCATTGCTGTGCAACTCCAGCTGTCCTTTCAAACACTGACATGGTTAAATTTTAATTTATTTCAATAATCCTTTTAAACATAATGGATCGTAGACTTGCAGACCAGGCAGACGTCTAAGTGGCTGCCTTGTCCTTGCAGTGTATTACAGAAAGGTAAAAAAAATAGTAGGGTGCAAAGCAGAGAGCTGGAGGGCAGACGTTGTCATGTCTCTCTGTTTGCACGTGAACCTTCTTTTCTGCAGCGCTCAACAACATTGTTCCCCTGCACCCTCTTCTCTCCCTACTCTGGTTCCACCTGGACGACTGTGACGGCTTCTGACGACCACCACGACGATGATGCACCTCCTCTGTGTCCCTCATCCTCCTCCTACGGACGACCACGCGCCATCTCATCGCCCTACTCATCTTTTCACTCACCCTCGCGTTCATCTTTCCCCTTAAAATCTGGATTGCCGCCGCTCCACCTCAGGACTACTTTGACATTGTGAAGAACCCCATGGATTTGTCGACCATCAAAAGGAAGTTGGACACCGGGCAGTATCAGGAGCCGTGGCAGTACGTGGAGGACATTTGGCTGATGTTCAATAACGCTTGGCTGTACAACCGCAAGACTTCCCGAGTTTACAAGTACTGCTCCAAGCTGGCTGAGGTGTTTGAGGTGGAGATTGACCCTGTCATGCAGGGCCTGGGCTACTGTTGTGGGAGGAAGGTGAGTGGGCTGTAGTGACTTTACTACAAAACTGCATTAACAACATGTAAATTAACATACTAAATTTGTTTTAATTAACATTTTTTAAATGTTTTTGCATCCTTTTTTTTAGTATGAATTTTCCCCTCAAACTCTATGCTGCTACGGGAAACAATTGTGCACCATCCAACGTGACGCTGCTTACTTTAGCTACCAGAACAGGTAAGGGCTTTAGTTACTTTGGACTCGGAGCATGAACAGATCATTTGAATTGTTCTATTAATTAAGACATATTGTGGCTGATTAGATCAGCTCAGATATGCATTGTGGTATTTCTGCACATTGTTTAGTAACAAGTATTCAGTGCAATCACAGAGGCGCTTATTTAGTTGGCTTCATGGGATGACCCTGCCCTGGCACTATATCCTGCTGTGTAGGCCACACTAAAACATTTAATTTTTTACTATCACTCAGTTCTCATTGATAAAGTGGGCTCCTGTCTTCAGCAGTTTTTTGTTTTTTTTACTCCTGTTATTTATTTATTTATTTAACTCTGAAAGTCTTAATCATGTGACTCCTTATGTTTTAATGGACATGGCTGTGTATCTACTCTGTGCCCACCTGCAGAAGAAATGTTCCCACTTTATGAATGACCTACAAGGATGATGGGTCTCTGTTGCTTTTCCATGTATTTAATTTTTCCTCATCCACCCTTTCATGTTTGGAGACTGGTATCCTCAGCCCCCCTGCCTCCTAGTGGTCTCTCATGTTGCTGTAATGTTGTTGTTTACCACTGGATGTCTGATGCTAATCTTTGCTTTGCCTTGGCTCTCTGTCCTCTGTTGGTTGTTGTTCTCATCCTGTTCGTCCCTCCTCCCCTCGTCCACGTCCTCTCTCCTCCTCCTTTCTCTCCATTGTCTCTGTCTGACCTGTAACGATTTATTTCACGCTTTTTTAATATTCATTTTGAACTCCCCTTCCCCATCTCCACTCTTCCCTTCCCCTTCTCCCATTCTCTCCCTCCTTTTTTAACGCTTGTGATGTCTGCATTGGCCTGCTTTGGTGTGACCAATCATCCGCTCCGAAATTTATGCGCAAAATCAAAAACACCCGTCCACACAAAAACCCTGCATCACGATTGGCTGCCTGGCGACGACCTACCTTGCCCTCTGCCTCCTCCTGTGTGTGTGCCCCCCCGGCCTGCCCTGCCCTGCCCTGCCCTGATTGGCGGCTGCTTCTCCGTGCCCTGTCTGTGATTGGCTGTGGTGATGGCCAACGGTGTAGTTCACCAAAATATGGGCTTCTTGCTGACAGGTACCACTTCTGTGAGAAGTGTTTCAACGAAATCCAGGGTGAGAGCGTTTCCCTGGGAGACGACCCCTCTCAGCCCCAGACGTGAGTACTTTTCCCTCACCTCACATGTGGCACTAGTAAACTTAGTCATCCAAACTGTTAACTTTATTGACCAAATAGAATGCACATGATTAATGTCAACTTTATTTTATTTTAACCTTACCTTCAACTAGTTAACCTGTTGTTCCTTTATGAAAACAATGTGGAAATGTAGACAATATGTTGAGATTTTAAAAACATTATGTTAAATATTTTATATAATGATGTATTCTGTTTGCTCTCTTGGAGAGAAAAATGTGAGGGGGAAAAAAAAGAAAAAAGTAATCACAAATTCAATTTCTTTTGTCATTGAATAGTCTTCCAGTAACATCAGCTCAAGTCAGATAAGGAAACAACTTTTATTTTCACAGCATCACAAAACAAATCTGCCTCTTGATTAATGTGTGATGAAAATTATTATTTAATACACTAATGAATACATATTTAAAATAGTCCAGTTTTCTCATGGTAACTGGCATTGTTTTCACTACTAAACTTCTAAGCAAAATGAATTTACATGAAAAGTTTTTGTATTGTTTTCACTACTAAACTCCTAAGCTTGTAAACCAAAATGAATTTACATGAAAAGTTTTTGTTCTATAACAAAACATAACTTTTTTTTTTTATGAAAATGTATCCTCTCTTGCCCACAGGTCCATAAATAAAGACCAATTTCAACGGAAGAAGAACGACACACTTGATCCTGAGTTGTATGTGCCCTGCTTTTGTTTTTTTACACCTATTATCTTTCTTATGTTTATGATGAATGAATGAATATGAATTTAATTTAAAATAAAATATTTTTTTGGTGTTGCTTCTTAAACAACCGTTTAACTCCAGCAGAGGAACAAACGTGTCGTCATGTTGCCCCATTAACAGTGAAGATTGTGTCTGCTTTTGTCTTCTTTCTGCACAGACTTGTGGAATGTACTGACTGTGGTCGTAAAATGCACCAGATCTGTGTCCTGCATCATGAAACCATATGGCCTTCAGGGTGAGACAGCCATCACACGCAGACTGTGTGCATTCTCTTCTTTCTCTTCCTTTTTTCTTCTTGAACCATTTGCAGAAAATAAAAGAAATGGCAAACATGCTGTACAGGAAGAATTGGTTCCACAACATTCATCTGCACATTTGTGTGTAGCTGCAAATTTTCCTTCAACAGTCAAAACACAGTCCCCACAAATAAATTGGCTAAAAGATTTGAAACTAAAAATGTACATAAGAGATCCAACTTTTGGAACAATGACGTGACTTTCATACCAGGGTGAATGCAGAACATGCAGAGTGAATTCCAAGATCCCAGTTTGATCTCTCCTCATGTATGGTCTGTTAGGAATTAAAAGAAGCGAGTGACCTCTGAGCTTTTCTAGTTGTTTGAAGACATGACAGGCATGAAATAAATACATTATCTCCTGACTTCTATTTATTTGATGTCACATTGTGCCTCTTTGGAGGGTTTGTTCATACTTTAAACAATTATTTTAACAAACCATTTCCATAATTTCTCTGACTCTATCTGTCGTTGATTTTGTACAGCAAATAAAAGCCCCTATTGTCAAAACAAGAACTAATGACATTAAAACGGATGGAAAACACATAACAAAAATAACAATGTTTATTCAACACTGCTATTTTTTTTCATTGTTGAAACAGTTAGGAGTTAGGTTATTTACTTGATATTTGTCATACTAACAGAGGTGTTAGTAATCTTTATAATGTTGTAATGTTGTTGTTTGTCTGTCTTTACTACAGCTTTGTTTGTGACAACTGCCTTAAAATGGCAAATAAGACACGAAAAGAAAACAAATACGCAGCCAAAAGTAAGTGCTGAGTGTTGCAATCGTGCTTTACTTTTAGTCTGTAAAAAATAATTTTATATTTTTAGTTTCATGTGGCTGTTTTTCATTCTCCATTTTCTGTTCCCTTTCTTCCAGGACTTCCCCAGACAAAGCTAGGGAACTATTTGGAGACACGCGTTAATGACTACCTCAAGCGTCAAAGCCACCCTGAATCTGGTGAGGTCACCATCCGAGTGGTTCATGTCTCAGACAAGGTAGTGGAGGTCAAACCAGGCATGAAGTCCAGGTAGGAGACCTTAACACTTTGATCAAAAATAGAGATTTATTATCTTTCTGTAAATTTGTTCTGATCATGACAACTAGAAGAGGCTACGTCAGGAAAGTAATACAGCCGAACCTAACAACTTAACAAAAAATAAATGGAAAACCTTAAAATGTGTAAAATCTTGACTTTTGTTTTAGGTTTGTGGACAACGGAGAAATGGCAGAGTCCTTCCCCTACAGAATGAAAGCTCTGTTTGCATTTGAAGACATCGATGGAGCAGATGTTTGCTTCTTTGGCATGCACGTTCAAGAGTACGGCTCCGACTGCCCACCTCCCAACCAGAGACGTGTGTACATCTCTTACCTGGACAGTGTGCACTTTTTCAAACCTCGACACCTCAGGACCGCCGTGTACCATGAGATTCTCCTAGGGTATCTGGAATATGTCAGGAGGCAGGGGTAGGAGAAATGTTTTACATCATTTCAAACATAAATGTGGGTTCAGTGTATGCTCTTCAGCAGGGATGATACCAACTGTTTGCATTTATATGCTGCTTGGGATTTTTTGTATTTGTAATAATTGAAGTCATCTGACTTTTCTTTTTTATAAACCATGTCAATGACCATTTATTTTCTGTTTTTCTAGATTCACAACAGGTCATATCTGGGCCTGTCCGCCCAGTGAAGGCGACGACTACATCTTCCACTGTCACCCACAGGACCAGAAGATCCCTAAGCCAAAACGCCTGCAGGAGTGGTACAAGAAGATGCTGGACAAGGCTGTAACGGAGCGAATTGTCCATGATTACAAGGTGAGAAAATTCTCTTTTTAATGAACTAATATTGAACAGAGGCCAATAGTATTAACACTTGTGTTTTTTACCTCAGGACATCTTCAAGCAGGCGACTGAGGACCGGCTGACCAGCGCCAAGGAGCTGCCATATTTTGAGGGCGACTTTTGGCCAAATGTGCTGGAGGAGAGCATAAAGGAGCTGGAGCAGGAGGAAGAGGAGAGGAAGAGGGAGGAGAACAGTACCTCCAGCGAAAGCACTGATGTGAGCATTTGTCACTTTGATTTTATTTATTTTTTTATATCATCCAAAAGAATTGATTTGCAATTAATACCTGCTGAAACATTTATTTCAGACCATAAAAGGCGACAGCAAAAATGCCAAAAAGAAGAACAATAAGAAAACGAGCAAGAACAAAAGCAGCTTGAGCCGAGCGAACAAGAAGAAACCAGGGATGCCCAACGTTTCCAATGACCTTTCTCAAAAACTTTATGCTACCATGGAGAAACACAAGGAGGTATTTGAGTCTTATTTGATTGTAGTAATAGTTCATTGCATGCTCACAAATGAATAAAATGTAATAAAAATATTTGCCTTAATTTATTTTCAGGTCTTCTTCGTCATCCGTCTCATTGCTGGCCCCACGGCCAACTCCCTGCCCTCCATCACTGACTCCGACCCTCTGATGGCCTGTGATCTGATGGATGGCCGTGATGCCTTTTTGACTCTGGCCAGGGATAAGCACCTGGAGTTCAGCTCCCTCAGGAGGTCCATGTGGAGCTCCATGTGTATGTTGGTGGAACTGCACAACCAGAGCCAGGACCGCTTTGTTTACACATGCAATGAGTGTAAACATCACGTGGAGACCCGTTTCCACTGCACTGTCTGCGAGGTGAGAAACAGCAGCGGCTCAGATGTCTCTCACAAGATGGCAGCCATTTTTTTAAAAGTCTTATGGATAACATAAATAATAATATTTTCAATTGTGTGGTGTCGGTCTGCGATCTTATCATCAATGTGTTTACTTTGTGTCGAAGGTTCTTACTTGGTGTGTTCATTTTTGATATCTGAGAATTCATCTTAACTTTTCATTCCCTTTTTTCCAGGACTATGATTTGTGCATCACCTGCTACAACACTAAAGGTCATGAGCACAAAATGGACAAGCTTGGTCTTGGGCTGGATGACGACAGCAACAATCAGTCAGCAGCAGCTACTCAGAACCCAGGAGACTCACGTCGCCTCAGCATTCAGAGATGCATCCAGTCGCTGGTCCACGCCTGCCAGTGCCGCAACGCCAACTGCTCTTTACCGTCCTGCCAAAAGATGAAACGCGTTGTTCAGCACACCAAAGGCTGCAAGCGCAAAACGAACGGTGGCTGCCCCATCTGCAAGCAGCTCATCGCTCTGTGTTGTTACCACGCTAAGCACTGTCAGGAGAACAAATGTCCGGTCCCCTTCTGTCTGAATATCAAGCAGAAGCTGCGGCAGCAGCAGCTACAGCACAGGCTCCAGCAGGCTCAGATGTTGAGGAGAAGAATGGCCAGCATGCAGAGGGTGGGTCAGGCCGCCGGAGGACCGCCAGGTGGACCTATGGTTGGGCTTCCATCGCCGGGAAACAATGGCACCACAGCACCAAGTACGCCAACGTCTGGAGGGACCCAGCCCCCAACTCCTCAGACCCCAACTCAGACAATGCCTCCAGTCCCACAGCAAGGCATGGGTCCAGGACCTGCTGTTCAACAGCAGCCTGGTGGGATTCCACCTCAGAGTGGGCTGCCTCCTCAACACCCCCTTCACCACCAGTTTCAGCACATGGCAGGTGGAGCTGGTGGAGGTGGGGGCTTAATGAGCTCTCCCCAACATCAGCAGCAGATGCTTTCTCAAATGCAGCAGCAGCAGCAGCATAAAGGGGCTGGGGCCATTGTTGTGCTATATCAGCAGCAGTACAAGAACA